TGGGATTATATTCTAAGAACACTGAGATGCCCACCAATCCGTAAGAACCTATGCACCCCAGTGTTCATAGCAGCACAATTTACAATAGGTAAGTGCTGGAAGCAACCTAAATGCCCATCAGTAAATGAATGGATCTAAAAACTATGGTATGTTTACATGATGGAATACTATACAACAGAAAGAAAGAAATCTTCTACCCTTTTCAACAATGTTCTTGGAACTGGAGGGCATTGTGGTAAGTGAAATAAGCCAGATGGTGAAAGACAAATACCATACGATCTCACCATCAAGAGGAACCTCATCAACAAAACAAACAAGCAAGTAAGCAAAATATAACCAGAGACATTGAAATTAAGAACAGTCTGACAATAACCAGAAGGGAGGTGGGAAGAGATAATGGGAGGAAAAGGGGGAAGTGTTTTGAGGAACAACTATAAAGGACACATGGACAAAACCAAGAGGAGGTAGAATTGGGAGGGAGATGTAGATGCCTGGAGTTTGGGGTGGGGGAATGCAGACAACTGTACTTGAACAACAATAAAATAATTTAAAACAAAACAAAACAAACATCCCTTTCTGTCTTTTCCAGATAGTTTCTCTCGTATGGTGTTAGCCAAGAACCTTATACACTGACTTCAGGCTGTTTACTATTGATTGAGGACAGAGTTCTTAGGTCTCCTTTAGCAAAGGTGCCCTTATACACAGACTGAGTTTCTGGCTCTGGTCCCAAGTTGAAAGGAGTCTGTAAATAACATGGGAAATTTTCCAATAATAATGTGACACAGACAAGGTAAAGTCAGGTTATTAAATTAAATACACAGTATTTTGGAGAGAATGAAGAAAGATGTGGAAATTTTTTCTGCAAAAAAATAACAACAAAAAAACAAGATAAAGAACACTTGATTACTAAATAGATAAATTGTTAAAGTATTTTTCCCTTAAATTGGCTAAGAAAAAAAGAAGGCAAAAGGCATAAACTTTTTTTTTTTAAATCTGCTTTTCCCTGTTCTGTTTGAATAGTTAGTTCTGTATTTGTAGATCATTGCCAGATGTTCATAATATGGAACACCATTATTCAAATAGTTATTTCTTATGAGAGAATCTTGAAGTCAAGTTGATGCTGTCAATCTGTTTACACTAACAGATAAAATTTGAACATGAGAAAGGACAATCTGTAGCAAATATTTTTCTCTGTTAATATAGTGAACTTCTGTTTGTTATTCTGGTCTTTCTATTTCATTCATTTAAATGACTGATAGCAGAAATGGCCGAAATTAAGAATGTCATTTTTCATCTGTCAGCATTAAATTAAACTTTGATTTTCATGCCCTTTTGGTAAAAGGGCTAACAAAGCTGAAATATATGCAGAATCAAGAAAAATGAAACATTACCCTACCATTTTATCTTCCTAGTTCAAATACTTGGGAACAAATTTCATAAAATTGCTGAAAGTGTCATTGGAAAAGTAGACTAGATTATAAAATAGGAAAAATTCTCATATGGGTAGAATTTTAGTGATATACCATTCTCTGAGGAGAAATCAAAAAGAATAAGCTATCAACATCCAACCAAATGATTATATTCATACAATAATCATGTATCAATGGCCTACTTTAGCACTAGGAAGGCATAACTGAAACACTTTATGCTTATTGTTTTAATAAATAATTTTGAAAAATGCAAATACATTCGAAAATTGCATTTTTCAGTTTAATTTTAGAGAAGTTTGACAAACACTTCTGTAGCATTTATTATGGGACAGGCACTGTTTTAGGTGCCTGTCAGGGATTAAATTGTTTAATCTTCATAACAGCCTTATGAAATAAGTAGTATCATGATCACCATTTTACAGATTAGGAGATGCAACTTCTTTTACAGGATGATCCCAGGGTTGAAATATAGGCAGTTTAATTTCAGAGTTTGTTCACTAAACCTGCACACAATTATTAATAAGTGCATTGTTATGTGTGTCTAGATCATGGGTGTCAAACTCATTTTCACTGGGGGGCCACATCAGCCTCAAAGGGCCAAATGGAATTTTAGGACTGTATAAATCTAACTACTCCTTAACTAGGGGCAAGCAGTTTGGCTGCCACTGGGTAGAAACAAGGTGCCATGCTGGATAAAACAAGATGGAGGGCTGGATTCAGCCTGTGGGCCTTGTGTTTGCCACCTGTGGTCTAGATCATAGAAGAGGACAGATTAAGTTAGAAAACACTTGAACCAAATGCTGCAGGTAGGGGCTGGGGTTCTCGAATCTTTCCTCACTCCTTTCTTTGGTATTGAAATGTATTGGAATTTTGCTGTTATGCTGCAGGCTTGTGTTTAAAGCTTGCTTGCTTGCAGTAGGTTATGTTGCCACCAGGTGGTGAAGGGTGCTTTAGTTATGACCTGCTCTGAACTGCTAGAATTTCCTGCAGTCCTATAAAGAGAATAACACTTTGCTTTTTTTGTAACTTTGTTTTCTTAATTAAAACAAACCTCTTCATTTAAAAAACGAATCCCAACTATCAGTTGTCTTTATGATTATATTTAAATACTGAAACTGAAATGAAACAAAGGCAATCAGTTTATCTTTCTCAAAATACCTTAGCTTTTTTTTTTGAAGATTTTATTTATTTATATTTAGAGAGAGGGTAAGGAAAGATGAAAGAGAAGGAAACACCAATGTGTGGTTGCCTCTCATATGCCCTCTACTGGGGGTCTGGGCCCACAACCTAGGCATGTGCCCTGACTGGGAATTCTACCTGCAACCCTTTGGTTTGCAGGCCAGTGCTCAATCCACTGAACCACACCAGCCAAGGCTCAATATTCCTTAGCTTTTAATAAAATTTTTTAACCTTGGCTTTATTAAGATTTGAAGAGAATATTTTAACACTTAACACATTGATTTATCTGAGCCTTTGCCAAAAGTCGGGGAGCAAAGACTAGATCAGGGATGTCAAACTCATTTTCACCAGGGGCCACATCAGCCTCACAGTTGCTTTCCTAATTTTAGCACTGTGTAAATGTAACTACTCCGTAACTGTTGAGTTGAAATTACTTTCGGCCCTTTGAAGGCAACTGTGAGGCTGATGTGGCCCCCAGTGAAAATGACTTTGACACCCCTGGACTAGATCATCTATACATTTTTTTCTACCTTTAAAAGGCTTTTAAATTGATACAATTTACCTACAGTCAGAAATCCTTAAAGTGGTTGCTGCTTGGTGTGTGATCATTTCTCTGTTGAAAAATCTCTGCTGTCTATTCTTAATTCTTTCAAGGAAAGCCCTCTTTTTGTCATCAGTCAGTAATGATTGTATTAGGTTTTAAAGAGTATTTTAAGTTTAAAATTATGTAAGTGTTCCAGAACTGTACTATATAGGTGTAAATCTCATTTCTGCCACTTTCCAGCTGTGTAATTTTAGGTAAATTATTTAACCTCTTTGTGCTATAGTTATAAAATGCAGACAATAATAATACCTTAGTTGTTTATTCATTTATTCAAATTAATAAATATGAAGTACCTAGAATACTGCTGGTATCTGTTTCCCAGCAATTTAATTATAATAATTGTTAGTGCCCTGGCTGGTATGGCTCAGTGGATTGAGCACTGGCCTGAGAACCAAAGGGTAGCCGGTTGGGTTCCCAGTCAGGGCACATGCCTGGGTTGTGGCCAGGTCCCCAGTAGGGGGCACTCAAGAGGCAACCACACATTGATGTTTCTGTCCCACTCCTTCCTCCCTTCCCTTCTGCCTAAAAATAAATAAATAAAATATTTAAAATAATAATAATTATTATTATGAATTATGAATTTATACCACTAATAATCCACAAAGTAATGTTTTTATACCAATTTTTTTTTTAAATCTTTTGAACTGTTGCTTTTCTGTTTTTCGGTTTGGTAGTGATTACCAATTACAGTAGATCCTTGCATAACACAGGTTAGGAGCACTGACCCCCTGCACATTCGAAGTCCACATATAACTTTTGACTTTCCCAACATTTAGTTGTCCCTCAGTATCCACAGCAACTGCTTCTAGGACTTCATGGATACTAAAAGCTATGGATGCTCAAATTACCTATATGAAATGGCATAGATCAATGCATACAGTTTACCCTCCACATACTCCCAGCCATGGATTGAAATACTATTTGTATTTATTGAAGAAAATCTGCGTATAAGAGACCTGCATAGTACAAACCATATTGTTCCAAGGTCAACTGTATATTTAGTTATAAGTCCAAGTTTTACTTTTTTAAAAAATATTTTATTTATTAATTTTTTTGAGAGAGGGGAAGGGAAGGAGAAAGAGTGGGAGAGAAATATCAATGTGTGGTTGCCTCTCATGTGTTCCCTGCTGGGAGCTGGCCTGCAACCCAGGCATGTGCCCTGACTGGGAATCGAACTGCGATACTCTGGTTCGCAGGCCCGCGCTCAATCCGCTGAGCTACGCAAGCCAGGGTTATAAGTCCAAGTTTTACTTTGATAATACACTTAATGTATTTGAAACCAAGGCAAAGAAATATTGAAATATATGGTTTCTTTTTGAAAGCAAGTTATATAAAGACATATTTCCCAATATGAAAACAATGAAAGGCAGTAAGCCCTAATGGTGAAAACTTTATTGTTTCCCCCACTTTAGATCAAATTAGGGTCTCTCTGTTGACAGTATGCCAATAGTTATATCATCTTAAATATCTAAAATATAAAATCCAAATTATCTAAATGTAATACTAGGATTTAAACAGGTTTCTTTCTTTTTTTTTTTTTTTTACCTCTGATGTGGACTCTTGGGATTTTACCTACCCCAGCCTCACATAATCGCCACCATTTTTTTTTTCTTTTTAGTTTGGTTCAAGTAGAAGTCTATCAAATTGTAAGCCCTTACGGAAAGCTATTATGACCTTCTATTTAGTTATTCTGTGTACCATGCTCCACAATAAGTACTTTCTGACTGGTCAGATTTTTATGAAATGTTTATATTTTTACCATTTAAAATATTTCCTTTTCTTCCTAGGGTATTACATATGACCATGTAGAATTAAATGTATATTTGAATGGAAAAAACATGCATTGTCCAGCATCAGGTATAAGAGGGACAGTGTATCCAGTTGTTTATGGTAAGCTAAAATATTTGTAAATATTATTTTATATATGTTAACTTTTTCTAAGGACTTTTTTTATTGGGAATGTATTCAGCAGCATATCACAGTCCTGTTGCAGAACTAAAGAAAGTTTTTATTCCCAAGAAAAGTTATGTAATTATAGTTTCTGTACAAGTATGTCTTGTAAGAATTGGGTTACTTAGAGATAACTCTATACTACTTAATTAATTTTTATTACAGAAAATTTCAAAAATGTTTAAAAATAAAGAGAATAGTATAATGAACCCTAGTGTACCTATCGTCTATCTTCAAACAATTATTAACTTGTAGCCAACCATATTTCATTTAACCCCAACACTCCCACTGCTTTTGACCTCCCCTCCTTGGAATATTTTGAGACTAATCATTTTACTCATAAATATTTCATGTGTATATCTAAAAAATAAGGTATCTCTAAAAAAATAGCCAGAATGACTTTATCACTCTATTCTGCTGATTTTATGTCTATGGTTTTAGTAAATCTAAAAGTATTTCTCATTTCATTACCCTATTTAAGTTCTTAGATCTGAGCTATAATAAAACTAATTATTAACTTTTTGCAATAATTTCCTAGGAAATTAGCAATGTTATTGAGGACATACTGTTTGAGATGTCAGAAATGTAAGCAATTACAAATACAAATATTTAACAATGTGATACTAAGAGCCAAAGCCTGTGTTTTATGCTTTAATTAAGGTTTTTATTAGTCTTCTTTTCTCTAAAAAATTACTTTTCAATGATTTTACCTTCTGCCTCTTTACATGTAAAAGCGTACTTTTTATTATAATTTATAGTTTATGCTATTACATTTGTCCCAAATTTTCCTCCTTTGTCCTTCTTGACCTTACACCTACCCTCACTCCCTCGGGCAATCCCCACACCATGTCCACTATGTCCATGTCTATGATTCCTACCAGTATGTCCTTTGGCTACTCTATTGTAGCCAAAGATGTACTTTATGTCCCTATGACTCTACTGTAACTACCAATTTGTACTTCTTTATCCCCTTACCTTTCTCACCTATCCCCCCAATGCCTTTGCCATCTGGCAACATAAAAATGTTCTCTGTATTGTGATCTGTCTCTATTTCTTGTTTGTTTACTTTGTTATTTAGATTCAATTGCTGATAGATGTGTATTTTTTACCATTTTATTGTTCATATTTTTTATCTTCTTCTTAATAAAGACCCTAGAACATTTCATATAATACTGGTTTGGTGATGATGAACTGCTTTAGCTTTTTCTTGTCTAGAAAGCTCTTTATCTTTCCTTTGATTCTAAATGATAACTTTGCTAGGTAGAGTAATCTTGGTTATAGGTCCTTCCTTTTTATCACTTTGAATATTTCTTGCCAATCCCTTCCAGCCTTTTCTTTGAAAAATCAGCTGACAGTCTTATGGGTGTCCCTTATAGGTAACTAACTGTTTTTCTCTTGCTGCTTTTAAGGTTCTCTCTTTATATTACATTTTGGCATTTTAATTATGATGTGTCTTGGAGTGGGCCATTTTGGGTCCATCTTGTTTGGGACTCTCTGTGCTTCCTAGGCTTTTATATCTATTCCTTAAGGGAAATGTTCTTTCATTATTTTTTTAAATAGGTTTATCTCTTCTCCTTCATATACCCCTATGATGCAGATATTGGTATGCTTCAAGTTGTCCCAGAGGTTCCTTATACTATCCTTATTTTATTTGTATTCTCTTTTCTTCTTACTGTTCTGATTGGCTGTTATTTTGCTTCCTTGTATTCCAAGTTGTTGGTTTGATTTTTGGCTTCATCCACTCTACTGTTGTGTCCCTGTAAATCATTCTTTATTTAAATTAGTGTATCCTTCATTTCTGACTGGGATTTTTTTTTCTGTTGAGGTCCTTAATTAGTCCTTGAGCATCATTATAAGCAATGTCTTGAACTCTGCATCTATATATTGCACATCTCCACTTTTAGTTCTTTTTCTGAAACTTTGTTCTGTTTTTTCATTTGGGCCGTGTTTCCTCTACTTATTTTGGCAGTCTCACTGTGTTTTTGTGTATTAGATAAAGCTGATACATCTCCCAGGCTTGGTAGATTGGCCACGAGACTCTACAGGATACCTACTGTCCTGTAGAGTCTGGTAGTATAGCCTCTACTGTTATTCAAGCTGTGTACTCTAGGTGTGTCCACTGTATGGGCTGTATATACCCTCCTCTTACAGTTAAGCCTTTATGGCTGTTGGCATGTCCAAGGTCAAACACCAACTGTGTTCTATTAGGGTCACACAGCATAAGTTAAAAAGCAGTCTATAGATCACTGCTACTTTTGGGGGCTTGGAGGAGCCCGAGAGAGGCCACACTGGGATCCAAGGCTAACTGGTGTTAGTGCCAGACCTAGGGCAGTTTAGAAAGGGTTTACTCACTGAAGCCAGATGCTGCTTGTTTGAGAAAATTTAGGAAAATCTCAAGCACAGGCCAACACAAGCCATTTATATGAAAAAGCCACTGGAAACAGCTTGGTCGGGCCCTAAAAGTTGAATGGAGCTGGCTTCAAGGAATTACCAGGGTCAGGGCAAACAGTGAGAGCCAGTTTAATGGAGTCTCAGATGAAGCATTCACCTGCTGGCTGTGTGAGGTTGGAAGAGGTTTCAGAAAAGAAACAATGGCCTCCTCCAGCCCTTCTTTCTAGGGGAAAGCTGTCCCCCAGCTCTCCCTCTGATGCCAGCCAGTTCAGTTCCTCCCTGTATGCCTCTGATGCCTTTTAGTCTTCTGCTCCTGCACTGGAGCTTAGAGGGAGTGACTCTGCAATTTTGTGTAGGGGCCCTTCACTCCTGCAGAGGTTGCAGATGATCTGAGAGATTTAAACTTTTTTCTTAAATATTTTTACATATATTCAGTGCATAAGTTCAAGGTCATGACTAGCTGCATGTTTGTGTGTGACTAATGTTAAGCCATAACATTAAATCAGTCAGTTTGCTTATAATACATGTTTCATTAGGGCGCATGTTCAATGTAAATTATATGAGAGATACCATGAACTCTGTAATCAGTGTTAATGTAGTTGTGTTTTTTCCCTATGAACTCAAAGTCTTGTCTTTTTCTTTTTTTACCATTTAAAATGGCTGGAAAAATATATTGATTCAATAATCCAAGAGATGTTGAGGAACTTCAGCAAATGCTACTCGAATCCAATGATGGGAATGATAAGAGTCTCATATACCCAGAAAGGGATAAAATGTAAATTTAGCTTTAAGTATGCATTTCTATGACACTGTAAATTTAGATTCACAAAAGCCTGACATAATAGAATATTACAACCAAACGAAGTCAGGACTTGACACTGTGGACCAAAAGATAGACACATGTAATGTGGCCAAGAACACAAGAAGATGGCCTATGGTTATATTCTACACAATTTTCAATATTGTAGAAATAAACTCTAAGACTATTCATATGCTGAACAGCAATATGAAAATAAGGCTCAGAATATTTATTAGAAATCTCATAAGGCAGTTAGTGTCTTAACAAATAAAAAGGTATTCAGAAATCTCTACAGGTGTGTACAAGGCTCTACATCTGAAATTTCATCAATTTCAAACACAAATTAAAGGAAATTCTAATGATGTAATAGATAACGACTCCCCCAACAAACAGAAAAACAAAAGGATGTGTTAGGTGCTATGCATCCAAAACAAGTTGCTTATCAAAATATTTTTGCAAATGTTGTGAGAAGTATTTATGCCTTGAGCATAGCAGTATTATTTGCGATGACTGTTACAAATGTTTACAAAACCAACTATTGAAGATTCTGATATATAATATTAAAGACATTTTTAAATTTTATTTAATTATTTTTCAAGTACAGTTTTCTGTCTATTTCTCCCATCCCAGCCCACCCTGCCCCATGCTCCCCACCTCCCTCCCATTTCCACCCCCCCCCCTTAGTTATTGTCCCTGTGTCCTTTATACTTGTTCCTCTAAATCCTTCCCCTTTCTCCCCTTAAATTCCCTCCCCTCTCCCCTCTGGTCTCTGTCCCCCTGTTCTCTATTTCAGTGTCTTTATTTTTATTTTGCTTGCTTGTTTGTTTTGTTGTTTAGCTTCCTGTTTAAGGTGAGATCATATGGTATTTGTCTTTCAACACTTGGCTTATTTCACTCAGCATAATGCTTTCCACTTCCGTCCATGCTATTGCAAAGGGTAGTAGCTCTTTCTTTCTCTCTGCTGCATAGAATTCCATTGTGTATATGTACCATAATTTTTTGATCCATCCATTTACTGACTGGCACCTAGGTTGCTTCCAACTCTTGGCTATTGTAAATTGTGCTGCTATGAACATAGTGGTGCATAGGTTCTTTGAGATTGGTGTTTTAGGGTTCTTAGGATATAATCCCAGCAGTGGAATTGCTGGGTCAAAAGGCAGGTCGATTTTTATTTTTCTGAGAAAATTCCATACTGTTTTCCATAATGGTTGTACCAGTCTGCAATCCCACCAACAGTGAACTAAGGTCCTGTTTTCCCCATAACCTCTCCAACATTGGTTGTTTGTTGCTTTGTTTATGATAGCCATCCTGACTGGTGTAAAGTAGTATCTCATTGTGGTTTTAATTTGCATCTCTCTGATGGCTAGTGATATTGAGCATCTTTTCCTGTGTCTCTGGATCTTCTGTATGTTCTTGGAGAATTATTTGTTCAAGTTTTTTTGTCATTTTTTAATTCAGTTAGTTGTCTTCTTAGAGTGCAGTCCTGTGAGTTCTTTGTATATTTTAGAGATTAAACCTTTGTCTGAGGTATCATTGGCAAATATGTTTTCCCATACAGTTGGTTGTCTTTTTAATTTAATACTGTTTTCTTTAGCCATGCAGAAGCTTTTTATTTTGATGAGATTCCATTTGTTTATTCTTTCCTTTATATTCCTTGCTCTAGGGGACATATCAGTAAATATTTTGCTGTGTGAAATATCTGAGACTTTCCTGCCTATGTTCTCCTCTAGGACTTTAATGGTTTCAAGGCTTATATTTAATTCTTTTATCCACCTTGAATTTATTTTGGTGTATGGTGTAAGTTTGTGCTCGTTTCATTTTTTTGCACTTATCCCAATTCCAAAACCAGATAGAGACACAACAAAGAAAGAAAACTTCAGGCCAATATTGCTGAAGACATTTTGCTTGTATTTTTTAGCAATATCCATGTTTCCATTATTTGAAAATAAAAATTTTTGTTTTTTATGTTTTAATATTTTTTGTTTAATAAGTCCTAGATTGTATCTGAAAAGCTTCGGTTGGTCAAGCTGTCTGTATGGCGTTTTTTACATAGAATAAAAGGCACATTTTTATTTTCACCAGTAACTTTATTGATTTGGATATTTTGGGTATATTGGCCATCTCCCATGTGATATAATGTTGATTGTTCTCAATTAATGTCTCAACTTGGTTGCTGTCAACTTCAGCTAATCTACCTGACTATGAAGCATCATCCAGCAAGCAATCTCCAGCACGAAACTTCACAGACTACTTTTGATAGGTTTCATCACTCACAACACCTTCTCCATATATTGCATAACTCTTTTTTTTGTATTTCAATTGTGGTTTTATTTTTCTTGAAATAATAAAGTATAACATGCCAAAAATGTTGTGTATTTTCTCCCATCTGCAATACTAAGAAGTCTACATTAAAAACTCACCAATTTTGATGTTTTAAAAATATATTTTATTGATTATGCTATTACAGTTGTCCCATTTTACCTACTTTAGTTCCCCTCTGCCCAGCACACCCACTCCCACCCACATCCCCTTCTCTTAGTTCATGTCCATGGGTTGTACATATAGGTTCTTTGGCTTCTATATTTCCTGTATTACTATTAACCTCTCCCTGTCTATTTTGTACCTACCATTTATGCTGCTTATTCCCCATACCTTTTACTGCCCTCCCCCTCCCTGCTGCTAACTCTCCATGTGATCTCCATTTCTGTGATTCTGTTCCTGTTCTAGTTGTTTGCTTAGTTTGTTTTTGTTTCTTTTTTTTTAGGTTCAGTTGTTGACAGTTGTGAGTTTGTTGTCATTTAACTGTTCATGTTTTTTATCATCTTCTTTTTCTTAGATATGTTCCTTTAACATTTTATATAATAAGGGCTTGGTTACTCTTTTAACTTGACTTTATCTGGGAAGTACTTTATCTGCCCTTACATTCTAAATAATAGCCTTACTGCATAGAGTAATTTTGGATGTAGGTTCTTGCCTTTCATGACTTTGAATACTTCTTTCCAGCCCCTTCTTGCCTATAAAGTTTCTTTTTTCTGACAGTCTTATGAGAACTCCTGACATCAGTTGACAGTCTTTTGGGAACTCCTCTGTAGGTAACTATTTCCTTTTCTCTTGCTGCTTTTAAGATTCTCTCCTTTAATCTTGGCTAATGTAATTGTGATGTGCCTTGGTATGTGCTTCCTTAGGTCCAGTTTCTTTGGGACTCTATGAGCTTCCTGGACTTCCTGGAAGTCTATTTGCTTTGCCAGATTCAGGAAGTTCTCCTTCATTATTTTTTCAAATAAGTTTTCAATTTCTTGCTCTTCCTCTTCTCCTTCTGGCATCCCTATGTTTTAGATGTTGGAATGTTTAAAGTTGTCCCAGAGTTTCCTAAGCCTGTCCTCATTTTTTTTAAAGTATTGTTTCTTCATTCTGTACTGTTCCATATTGGGTAAGCCTAAAATCCACTCCTTTATTTACTTAAATAAAAGGAAGTATAGCTTAATATTCAAAATAGTTTAGCCTGAGAAGTGAAATATATACTAGAATTACTGAGTTATACAAATGAGTAGCAGGTAAAATTATTACTGCAAATTGTTTAATTGATTTTGCATTATTTTAAATGTAATAAATTTATAGGTAGTAAATTATGAAAAGTATATTTTATAAATTGGAATTGATAAATCAATGTAATTGAATCAAATATATTAACAGTCTGATACTATCACAGATAAAAAGAAAACTTAAGTTCCCTTATCTTTGTCTTCTATCCAATTCCTAGATGTAGATCATTCTAGCCATTCATTTGGTCTTTTCTTACACTTAGTCTATGGAGAGAAAAAACGCTGTATAACACTCAAGAAAAGAGTCATGGCAAAGTTTACTTCCAGTGTAATCTAAACTGTCAATATTTTTGGCAATTTCTTTACATCTCTAAACATCCGGACCTTCACTATAGTTCTTCAATTTCCTACTCAATTGTCTGCAGATAACTTGCCCTCTACTTTATAGAGAACAGACTATCAAGAGTGAATTCTACATTCACTTCCTTACCCTCCTGAAGCTTTTCTAGGTCTACTCCAATCTTGCCTCCTTTAATCCCTTCTCAGAGGAAGCAGTATCCTTCATGTTCAGAAAACTCAGTCTATAGACTGTATTTCAAACTCTCCAACTCTGGGACTTCACTTTTTCAGCTATTTCACAGGTATCTCATGTCATCAACTTCTGTGTTCAGTACCTGTAAACTTTCTGAGTTATTCTCATCTGAAAAAAAACCCTCCCTTAAACTCATATTCCTCACTAGCGCTATGTTTATCCTTCTCTATATTGCTGCATTTCTTATAAAATAGCTTATACCACTGTCTTTATTACATCATTCATTCGTTCAACCCAGTTTGGCTGCCTTTATCACCACTGCACTGAAACCACCCTTGTAAAAATCACTGTAATACCTTCAAAAATGTCAAATACTGTATTTAACTTTTTTAGCATTTATTATTAAACAAAATATTTAGTAATGTTAATTAAATATATCTGTGCAATTTGACAATAGCTATAAAGTGATCACCTATGTCATTACCACAGTCAAGATAGCAAGCCTGTTTGTGAACCTTCAAAGTTTTCTCCTGCTCCCTTATAATTGTTCCTGCTCACTTCCCATCCCAGGCCCAATCAGACAACCACTGATCTGCTTTCTGTCAGTGCAGATTATCTTGCATTTCTAGAGTATTAAATAATCAGAAGCATGTAGTTTGTATTAATTTTTATCTGGCTTCTTTCACTCAGTATAATTACTTTAGGATTCATTCATATTGCATTAATAATATGTAGTAACAATAATTTAGTCTCTTTTTTGTAGCTAAATAGTATAGTTCATTTTGTGGATTTATCACAATTTGTATTTCCTTTTATCTGTTCATGGTTGTGTTTAGTTTTTGTGTTTCCTTTCATCTGTGTTAGGTTGTTTTTAGTTTTTGGCTGTTAAAAATAAAGCTATTACAAACATTTCATGTACAGGTCTTTGTATAGCTATATGTAGTCATTTCTTTTGGGTAAATGCTGGTAAACACATGTAGATACTAAATAAGCTCTGAAGTCTAGTTGACAATATTGTATCAATGTCAGTTTTCTGGATTTCATATTGTACTGTAGTTATGTAAGGTGTTACCACTGGAGACTATATTATTTTTGCAACTTCCTATGAATATAATTTTTTCAAAATGAAAAAAGTATTTTTTAAAAAAGTCATGGATCTTTTAAAAAATAAATCTCAATAGTATACAGTTTAGAAAATTGGCAAATAAGGGAAAATTAAAATTACCTATGTGTGTACCATTTGGAGATATTTAATAACAACTAATATTTATAATAATTTAAATAATGTTATTAATAATCATGGATGATAATGTTTTGATATACAGATTTTGTTTTTCATTGTGGACATTTTTAGCCAATAGGATTATGTTTTGTAATCTGGACAGTAGATGCATTTATTCTTATTGCCTTTTGATACTATCATATTTTAAAAGTAGTTTATTTTTAATTATGTATTCATAAAAATTAAAGGTATTTGCTTCTAACTTATTTATTTTCTTTTTCTGTTTCTAGTTGATGACAGTGCAATTTTGGATTGCCAGTTCAGTGAATTTTATCATACTCCTCCACTTGGTTTTGAAAAAATACTATTTGAACAACAGATCTTCTGAATGTATTTGTTTTTGAAACTTGTATTTCTGCACTTTTAAGTGTTTACCATTTAATAAAGCTTTACCTGACTATTGATGAAATATATTCTTAAAAATATGCTTGTTAATGTTGTTTAAGGAACCAATGTATTCAATGTACCACCCAAAAATTGTGATTTAAAATACTTATGTTTTATGGTATGAAATCAGCACTTTGGGCTGTATATTTAATTTTTATTTAAATAAATATAACCATGGGTATGGTTAGCAGTATTAAGTGGAAATATGTATATAGATACTTAAAAGGGAATCTTACATAAAATATTTAATAGGGACTTAGAGTTGGGTAGGTTTTTGTTAAACTTCAGATTTCATCAACTACTTTAAGACTGCAGTCCAATAATTTTGTGTCTCATGGCCTTTTTACATAGACTATAACAAATTGACAAATTTATATTATTGGCAACCTTAACTTTTGCAATTTATTTACTATAAGATGTACCACTTTTCTTAAAATTTAAATTGCTTATTTTGTTTGTATGTCATTGCTTTTGATTTGCTTTGTGAAAGGAGATAAATGTTTTAGTAATTGTTATTTTGTTGAAGACCATTACGCTGTGTTACTTCAATACCAGAATAAATAGTGGTTGATTGGTGATACAAGGGGGGGCTACCATAAAAAACAGATTCTCTTCTGAAGGGCAGGCCCCTTGTAATACAGGCTTCCTCCACTTGGTGGGTGTTCTAGGAACCCATCTGTATCAGTGTACCAGCTGGCATTGTTGTAGCTGCATTCAGCTTTAGTGAATTTTTTATGAAAAGTCCTCCAATGCATTTGCCCATTTTATGATGGATGATTTATGAGCATATCTGATCACACTTTGCTGAGCATTCAGCAGTTTTTTACTAATAATGGGCATGACCCTTGCGCCCATCCTCCCTATTCACATGATTTCACACTGAGCACCTCTTTTTTTGTTTCCCTGAATGTAAAAAGTCCTAAAAGGGAACATGTTGCTGATGTGGAAGAGAAGAAACAAAAAATGGGGGAAGCATTAAAAGGAATCAAATTGAGTTTGAACACTGTTTTCAGCAGTGGAAAAAACATCTCAATAGGTGCATTGCATCAAATGGAGGGTACTCTGAAGGTGACTAAAGTTTAAACATGTAAAATAAATACAGATTTTTTTATATAAGTAGATTCTGTTTCTTAGGGGGTCTATCCTTGTGTAGTGCACACTGACAGACATTTAGAATAAGTAGTGTTGATCCTTTAAACAAATCTAAGTGAGATAATTCTTGTAAGGACTTTTATTTAAATGTGTGTTTCTCTGTAAGGAATAATAAAATAATGCTAATTAAGGAATATTCACTACTATATTAAATACATTTTCTCCCTGTTCTGTTAATTATAAATTCACTTCACTCAATTATTTCAGAAATTCAGAGGTAAGTGAATCCTCCCCATGACCTGAGCCTTGGCCTAATTTTCAGTAAAATGTTAGTTTACACCCTACTAACCCAAACTATTCACTGTACACATCTTTGGCTCAGTCCTCTTTAAAGGAACATGGCATGGAGACATACACTTCACTCCTTCATGAACAAGAGAACAGTACATTGTATTAGAAAAGCATGGGCATTAGGACTTCTGGCCAAGGTGGAGGCATGGGTAGATACACTTTGCCTCCTCACACAACCAAAAGATGGACAACAAATTTAAAAACAAGAAAGAATGAAAACTGCCAGAAAATTGAACTGTATGGAAGCCCAACAACCAAAGAGTTAAAGAAGAAACATTCAGTCAAACTGGTAGGTGGGGTGGAGAGGACACCTGTGGCAAGGCCGCAGTGGCTGGCAGACTGGGAGATCCCAAATTTTTGTATGAATAAACCAACCAGGAGGAACAGCTGGGGAGCAAGGCCAAGCAACTCAGGGTTCCAGCGCAGAAAATAAAGCCTCAAAACCTCTGACTAAAGGAACCTGTGGGGATTGCGAAGGTGAGAGAAACTCCCAGTCTCACAGGAGAGATTGTTGGAGAGGCCGATAGGATCCTAGAATGTACACAAACCCACAAACCTGGGAAACAGCACCTGAAAGAGCACACTATGCTTGTGGGAAGTGAGAGAAATGACAGCAAGTGGGGCTAGAGCAGAGCAAGCAACTACCAGCTGATTTCTCAAACTTGCAGGCAAGAAGGGGCTGGAAAGAAGTATTCAAAGTCATGAGAGGCAAGGACATACTTGCCTTTCAAAGATTATCCAGCAAAGCGTTCATTTATAATGGAAGGGCAGATAAAGTGCTTCCCAGATAAGGTCAAGTTAAAGGAGTTCCTCATCATCAAGCCCTAATTATATGAAATGTTAAAGGGACTTAATCTAAGAAAAAGAAGATGATCAAAAATATGAACAGTAAAATGACATCAAGGAGAAGATAGCAGAGGAGTGAATGGAAGTTACTGACTTCCTCCCAGGGCCAATCTGGAATTACAACTCAATGTAGAGAAACCACCCAGAACAAACAACTGAGCAATAGTGAGAGAAAAGCCGAATAATCTCACACAGAAAAATCAGCTTTGGCACAATTTATCTGGTAAGGAGTGCGGTAGAGACTCAAGAGGGCTGGGTAGGTACCCACAGGTGGCATCACCAGAGGGGTAATTGAGTGGCTGTTTGGATCCCCCTGAGAAGAATGGGGTCTAAACCCTAAGCTAGGATTCCTAGCCTAAAGCACCAGAGCCCAAAAAGTACACAGAAAACATCCAGTAGTGAAAAGCAGCAGGGATGCAGAGACAGATGGCTAGAAATGCAAGAGCCATTTAAAAGGGCCAACACACAAATTTTCATTTGCAGACACCCTAGGCTCTGGCAAAGGCAGGGGAAGAGTGGGCTGGTGACTCCTCAGGAGAGACTACGGACTGAAGCTTTGGGGAGAGAACTGAGAGAGTAGATGCCATGATCCTGGTACTGAGTCATCCACCATACATCGCCAGCCATCATGCTCAGGCAGACCACTCCCCTCTGAGTAGCAGCAGCCTTTGGGGAAACAATAGCCCTGAACCCAGGAGGTTCTCTGCCCTGGCCATGTGGTGCTTAAGTTTGACTGCTGAGTAATGATTGCCTAGATTAAAAACTAAAGGAGATAGCCACAAAGTGAATCCTTGGCAAAGGGGGGTGCAGAGTGGACTAGAGACACTTGAGACACAGGATGGAGGCATTAGGGAGAGAACTGAGAGAGTAGCTGCTGGGCCCCTGGTGCTGAGCCAACCCCCATATGGCAGCAACCATCCTGCTCAGGCAGACCATTCCCCTCTGAGCAGTCATAGTCTGAAGGGAAACAATAGGCCCCACCCCAGGAGGGATTTAGACCTACCCTATGGTGCTTAAGCCTGACTGCTGAGTGCAGAGTGACTAGATTAATAACTGAAGGAGGCAGCCTGGGACAGCAGTTCCCTGGAAATATTGAACAGGCTGCCTAAGGTCAGACAGGGTCAACATATGACATTTCCAGAGGCAGATCCAGAAAGAAATAAACAGTAGTAAATACTAGAGGCTACAGAAATGAAATTCACTGTGGTCTTATCCATGGTTTGTGATATTTTATTTCCTGCATAGATTTTAAACATTCATTTCTTGTTTGATGTGGACCCCAGCTCATGGGGTCCATACATTGTGGATGAGACAAAACAAATTCACATGGACTACTGAGTCCAAAGGGACAGCACAGCCACTCTCTCAAGGGGAGAGTGCCTCAGAGCACCTTGAACACTCTCTCAAGGGGAGAGTGCCTCTGAGCACCTTGAACACTCTCTCAAGGGGAGAGCACCCCAACCCTTGCCTTGACAAGCTTTAATTGCTTTTCTGGGCACATTACTTGATGGTCCTCATTTACTATGCTGAGGTTCGCTTTAGGTGGTTACCTTTTACAGAAAACAAAGGAGAAGGGTGCTGCTAATCACATCACAGAAAAAGGATATTTGCAAATGCAAAGGGAAAAGGGGTTAAACTGGTTACACTCATCCTTGGAAAGTTTAGCATAGATTTTAGGAAGTTACTTTAAAGATATGCAGTAAGCGTTTTCTGTCTCAATTCAGGATGAGGGAGTTTTAGCAAAAAGCAAGTCTCAAAGCAGTCTAGGTAAAACACAGGCCTGATTCCCCACAGGAAAACCTATCCATGGGGCGTGGGTCCTGTGTATCTCCGAGTGGAAGCTGGGCCCACACCACACAGAATGGTCTATACTTGTCTATCAAGTTTGTACATATTAAGTCACTGGATATTATACTATAGTTTTTTTTTAATTTCTATATTTTCCCCTCCCTTCTTGCCACATTTTACCTTCCTCTTTTCTTGCATTACTTTCATTTCAAATATTTTTTTCTTTCTAGCTACAACTTGTTTCCACTCCATACTCTTACTATTTCTCCCCCATCCAGACACACAAAACCAATTTGCTTGCCAAGGGTCATCTCATATCCTTTTTCCTTGCTCTTAAAATACCAGCATTGTCTCTACATCTTTATTAATCTTTGCTAGTTGGTTTTGGGTAGGGTAGTTTTTGTTGCATTGTTTTTCAATTTTATCTCTGGAGCTTCACTAATTCTGTATTTCAAATACCAGATTTTACCAGCCCCCTATTATATTCTTTTTTTCTTCTCAAATTTAAATTTTGCTGTCTTAGCCTGTTTTTTTTGTCTTCTATTTCTCTTTTATCTGGCCCTTTTATTTTTTTATTCTCCTTTTCCTCTTTTTTCTTTTTCCTTACATCTCAAATTTTAATTTTTCCCTTAGCCTGGTTTTTATTCCTCACTCTTAATAGTCCCTCTGCCTCTATCATTTCAAAATCACTTCTCATTCCTCTAAATATCTCAGACTTTTCTTGGCTTCCTTTTTTCCCTCTTATTCCCATACCACCTATACTAATTTTAGCTCATTTATTCTTGATAGTACTGTGGTGGATCTTTCTCTTCAATTTGACTCATATTTTTATTAATTATTTACTATTTTCCTTCATTTTTTCCTCTTGCTTTATTTTATTTTATATTATTTTAATTTCTGTTTAAATCTAATACTATATGCTTCCCTTCTCATACTCCATTCCACATGCTTCTTCCTTTTTTCTTCATGATGTAAATTTTACCTTCTCTTTTTCTATTGCTCTAACTCCCAACTCTTATTAGTACTCCTAACTCTACTATTTCAAAATCACTTTTCTTTCAGTAGGTCATCTCTTATCTCCTCTTTTCTTATAATAATCTTTACACACTTATTAATACAGGTTCATTTGCTGTTGATAGTGGGGTTGTGCGGATGAGTTATTTTTGCCAGTGTGGGTTTGTTTCCTGGGCCTTGTAGTTTTCTTTTGGCAGCACCAACAGCACACAAGATGTGGTGGGCAAAGTGACCTTCGGTCAAAGAGCTGGAGGAAAGGACCCACCAAAGAATACCCAAGAATCAAAACACAATTGCACCCAGAGAACCAAAATAAATAGCATAAAAGGCATCCCAAGAGCATCTAGTTCTGTTGGGGGATTTGATAGCCATTTTAAGACACAACACAATGACTAGAGAGTGATTTGTTTTTGCAGCCCAGTGGCTTGTTTTGGTCCAAAGAGGCCAAAAGCTTCTTTTGGTGTCTCTGGACTATTTATCGTCTACGTGCCAGAGATAACGCTCTGTTCCTTCTGCTTCTGTAAACTGCTTCCTGCTTTTGTGCCAGAAGTAAGGGTCCGAAGGATGGGCCCTCCCTGGCTCTATAAAAATAACTGCTCCCCCTCTGCTGAGTGCCCAGAATTTGGAAATTAACTCCTCTGGGTCCGTGCGCATAAAAATAAACTTCCACTTCGTACACTCGAAAGCGGCTGAGTTGTTTTCTGTAACATTTGGCTCCCCGACCGGGAATTGACACTCACATGAGCAGGCCTTTTTGCCTCCGATCAGGGGGCGAAGTTTGTGCCCTGGTGATTTCTGGTCCCAGACACCCCGGGCTCCGTGGAAGTCATCCTCCAGACCGCTCCTCAACCCAGGTAGGTGGGGTGCATACTGGAACTACCCAGACATGAGAAGGCACTAAATGGTAAGTGCCCCGGGGACCAGAGCCTGAGACCAGCTCACCCCTTGTGGTGGAAGGAGAGACTGACCACCTCTGAGGCAGGCAATTAGCCATAAGTCCTCTGGAGACCAATTAATTGGCCCTCTGGAAGGGGAAACATATCCCTACCTGGGCAGTCCTACTCAGGCTGGACTGTATAAACTCTTGGATGTTTGTCTGTGTGTTTGTAGGAGTGACTGTGTTTGTAGCTCCACTGAAAAACCTACAAAGCAAGAGTGACCCCCCTGCTGGAGGGATGGGAGGCAGCCGAGGCCCACATGGCCCCCTGCACCTGGTCCTGCTAAATGGGTCGCCTAGGAGACAAGCAGGGCTACCCCAGCCAAGCCCCCTTGACTGAGCCGGGAGCAAGCTGTGAAGACCTCCTGGGCCCCGAGCTGGAGCCCCTGCAGTGGGTCCTTTAGGAAACCAGATACCTCCCAGGAGCAGGGAGCCACCAGATTGCCTAAGCAAAGGAACCAAGAGTAAAAAGAATGATAGATAAATCTAGATAAGTAGAAATATGTATAAAGGATGTGAAAGTTTTAAACCTGGAGTAAATGAAACCTCAACTACTTGTTTTCTGGTTTCGTGGAAAAGAGCAAATTTTTCACATGTGGTTCTGTTTCTGATCAGAAACCTGTATTGTAAGACCTAGGAAAGGTCATCTGTAGCCAGTTGGGGAGAATGCCTTTGCCACCCGGAACCCACGAAGGGGTTTTAGCCTGAGACAAACCAGCATGTCTCTGCCATGAGACCGGGTCTGAAGGAGCATGTCTCCACGAGACACCAGTGGGCGCATTGGTGCAGGAGAGTGCCTCTACCTGTGTGTTGTTTCAGAACGCTGTGTTTCGGATTTTTC